CCCTCAGACGGTATTTTCCACTTTTGGACCCAACGTGAATACACTTTATCAAAGTTGTGCCTCCTGGCGGAGGAGGGAACGCCATCTGCTCAAAATGAGGATCACATGCACGCCCCCAAATCAACAACTCAACCGGAAAACAAGAATCAAAAACACGCTGGCCGTGCATAATGAGAAGGGCGTACTGACGCAAGAACAGGTGAAGAGCCGGTCGTCCAAAACCGATCGTAGATAAGAGTAATGTGAGGTGGTTGGGCTGTACCAGGCGTTTCAACACCGATGGCTCACGGGTGAACGCATTTCCTACATTTGGTCCTTTTTATGCTATAAGTTTTCATGCTAGAATCACAAAGAACGGCACACCATGGCAGGGAAGTGGTTCGAGAAATGGCCGCGCGGAAAACAAGGCAAGCAGGCCGTTATTTATGATTCTAGCATGAAACTTTATGGGTTAAGGAGCTCAAAATGTGAAATGATCTCACAGAATCAAAAAATGAAGACGAAATAGCGGAATTCTACTTTAGAAAAAAAGTTATGAATTTTGGAGATTTTTCGTTGCGGGAGCCTACAAGATTTCGACCATTTCGACCAGGTATCAGATAACTGTACCCCCAATTAAAACCATCGCACTGCTCCCCGCTAAGAGGGGAAATCTCGAATGATCGCCGGAAAATAATGACAAAAAACTCACCATCCTGTTATGCGACCCGTCAGAATGCAACGGTATTTGATTCTCCTCGGCATACTGCTTGACGCCGTCGTATTCTCGTGCCGACTCGAAGCCAGTGTACAAGACGGCGTCCTGGTATATGAAGCCGCTTCCGCTCCTCTTCCAGGAGGCACAAAAATGGCGTAAAATAGGACGCTAGTGAAAATACGAACTGAATCTGCTCGGCGACGGTGATTAGAACACACAGAGAATCGGTCCGAAGCGAGAGAGCGATTGTCGATGTGCGTTCATCCGCAAATAGGAGACGATCTGCTGGGCGGTGATGCCCACCTAGAAAGCATCAGCGCAGAATGGTACAAAGCGAAAAAGGGCAATAAAGCTACAAGGTGGTTTTTTGGGATTGTATTTCTATCTGTAATAAATACAAACACATTATACCTTTAAGCATATTTAAATGTAATTTTAAGTTACTACCAAACGCCAAAAATAATTATATGTAGCGCTTTCCACACAAGAATCTCTCGTCAACACCCCGACACTTTTATATTTAAAAACCTAAAATAAATTAAAATTTTCACATTTTCCAGTTTCCTACCCCAAAAAAAATAAAAAATTAAATATTACTACTACCTGTACAAAAATTCGGTAAATGTCGACAAGATGGCCAGCTGCAAGCTGGATGCCGTGTACGCGTAGACGCGATAGTTTGTCTCGACGACGAGACATCCCCTCTCTTCGTTGCATACTCTAAAAAACGATGTTTCCATACAAAAAAAAGATGATACCGTATCTATATCGTCCGACGGAATCGTAGGGTTGCAGAGGAGCGGCGAGAGGTAGAAATGGCTGAAAAAAAGTTATAAGAAGCTTGAAAAATCCCAACCCGTCCTTCCGCTTCCGGATGTAGACGAGACCGATTTCGCGTAGATGCATGACAATTTCGAGCTGCCGTTCGGTCCACGAATCTTCGAGGTAGAATGGGCGGCCGCCGATTTCCGAGGTCTATTTTCGATTCGACACATCTAAACTAGGTTTTATTAACCAAAAAGATGCTTACAAAACAATCCGAATGAACAAATCCAGCACCTCAACGACGTCGTTCGTCCCGTGCCGCTCGAACTTGAAATACTCTAAAAAAGATAGATTTGGCTTTTCCGCAAGAAAGTACCAATCATATACGTCCACATTTGTTGCACCGGACTGAGGAGCAGAAAGTGGAATCCAGCAGACGTCAGCTCAGCGTGCCGTCACAGGATGTGGTGAAGCCTGAAAACTAGAATACTAGATATCGTAAAAAGTCATACCAGCAGCCTTGAATAGTTGTTTTGTTTTCTGCGCCACTGTGCTGAGGCTTTGGTCGGAAGGAATGGCGAGGTACCTACTCTCGACATTAAAAACCGAATATAAAATCACCGTAAAACCAATTCCCATCTTTCGGTGCTGTTTTTCGTGATGTCCTTCTTCGCCTTTTTCTCGTCGCCCTCGGAGACAGCGCTAAAAAATTAGATCAGGCTATAGATTATAGAGAATTTGATACCGCAATCCAGCACATCCGTAGGCGCCCAGGACGGAAGCTTTGAGGTAAGCGTCACGAAATGCTTTCTGAAATCTTGGTGAAAACCTAAAAGTAATAACCTTACCAGCAACCTGGGCTTGCTGTTGGCTTCCTCAACCAGACCGCATCGTGAGAGCAAGCCGATTTGCTGCCGTACCACCTCGTGCCCTTCCTTCGTCAAGCCCGGACTGAACGCGGTGACTATCAAAACGTCTTGTTTTTCCACGTACTACAACTTTTTGTCCCAAATCATCTTCACGATCGTGGTCTGCGCGTGGCTGGGCAGCATCCGAAGATGAAAAAGGCCGACGCCAGCGTGGCGAATAGTCGTTGCCTTTCATCCTAATTTTTAACCTTTAAGCAATAAACCTTTATAATACCGGTTTCAGCGTCTGTAGATAGCGCAGGAAAAGCGATTCGCCTTTATGCGCGTCATCATCAGTCATGCCAACCTGCTAAATCTTCACTTTTTTACCGATTCCCAAATTTTTTCAGGAATGTTCAAACGCTCTTTTAACACTTTTCATGTTTCTCGCTGAATGTGTATATAAAAATATCTTTATTTCAGCAATGTGGATACCCGAATAGGACTAATAGGCACTAGCTACGCAAATACTAGGTGGGGCTCCAATCTGAAGAGGAGTGGAGGGGGGGAGGGGGATACAGAGTCCGGTCACAAATGAGGTACGTGTCCTGGCTATTCCTGCGATTGTTGGGCCTTCAACTGTTGGAAGAGGGGTGGACGTGGCCTGGTTGGACGAAAACTGTAGACAGAACGCGTTGATCTCCGTGTACAAGTCCTAAAAAATACGTTAGAAGCATTTTACAATTTTACGTCGGATTTTATCGTCCCCTCGTTCAATAACGTTGCCACAAGCATCGCCGTAACGCGGACGTGGCGGATCTGAAAATGAAATTGCTCTTTTTTCTTAGCAAAACACAAACCTGCATCGAGGGTTTCGACGAATCTTAGCAAATTTGGAAATAAATGCTGTATGTATGTGACCAGGGGGGCGGTGGGCAAGGAGGGGGCTGTCTAAACTTCAAAATTTAGCTATTTTTGCGTAGCAATACCTTGTAAATTTTCCTAATTACATCGGCGCATTGTACAGAGAATTCCATCGACATCAGAACGCCGATAATCCTGAAAATTTGGTATCTACGAAATGTTGACGTCTCCTCACGTGTTTATTCGATCGGGATCGGACCTTAGAAGGTAGGAAAGCACATCGGAAGCGACCTTTGGGTTCAGCTCTATCAAAAGTTTGTAGTGTGATGGAGTCAACTCTTAAAAGGAGTATTTTTCTAAATCGTCAAATTTTTTTACCGTCAATCTTTGCAGCTTGTAGCGCAATGGTGATGCTGGCGATGTCAGTACGTTGATAAATTGGCGCGCTTCGGATTGGCTAAAAAGGAATTAGCAAAAAAGTAGCTAACCTTAGCGTTGTGCTGGAAAGCAATTTGCCGATGATGGCATCGAGTTTTTCGGCGGATATCAATTCCGGGAAGCTGGATTCGCGGATGTACTCGGGGACGACGCAAGTGTAGGCGTTTGTTGTCTAGAAAAAGGATCAACAATTCTGCAAAATCTTACCCAGAATCGAAGAAGCATATCGGGCTTATCGGGTAACCGGGAATCCGCTAAAAATGCATTTTCAGACGCAACAAATCGCTCACCCGCTCGTGTCCCGGACTCGCTTGGGCTTCTAGAAGTGAATTTGGGGCACGTTCGTCCAGCCCGCTGACGTAGCGCAGTAGTTCGATCAGTGTTTCGGCCCTAAAGGATTGGAATAAAGCGAAACTCGCTAAAATCAACCTTTTTGCCGCATCTTCTGCGTTGGCGCGGCGGGTATCCTGGAGATTCCCGCTGTCATCACTCATCAAACCATGTAGGGGCCCGGGTTCTGAAGGGAGCTTCATTTATACAACAATTTTACAATTAGAAAAAGTTTCCGGAATCCCAAACGTTTTTAAAATTAAAGTTCCAGAAAGCACCAAACAACGTTTTTGTTGTTTGGTGCTGCGCAAACGGTGAAACTGCTTTTTGTTTTCTTTTTCTGTCCAAAAAATCCTTTAGAAAATCGGCTAAAAATTTAGCAAAAAAGTCAGACGTAAAATCCTTTTTTTTAATGTAAAGTTTTTGATAATAGCGGAACGATGGAACTTCTTTTGGAGCCACTTCACTCATACTCGTGCCTTTTACCTCAGCTAAACGGCGCGCAATCGACCGTGCCCGCCCTCTAATAAAGAGGCAGTAGAGAGCCGTTTCGAATAGACATATTAGTAAGGCAAGTTGCAACAAATAATAAATAAAGTTTTGCAATTTTGTTCGATAAACTGATGACTTGATCATGTTTTACTAAAAATAAGTTGTTTATTTTTCCTTAATCTCTCAAAAATGAGCTTTTGATCCCGAAAGGGATGCCCTTTCCAAAGTTCTGACCTTCGACTTTCGAAAGTTCTTTTCATGAATCCGTCCTCTTTCAGGTAAACTTCCAATGCTGTTCTACTCTTTCTTCAAATCCCTCGTCGGGAAGGAGGTCGTAGTCGAGCTGAAAAACGACGTCTGCCTACATGGAACCCTCCATTCCGTCGATCAGTACCTCAACATGAACCTACACGAGACGCAAGTCACCGATCAAGACCGTTTCCCGCACCTAATTGCCGTCAAAAACGCGTTTATCCGCGGCTCGGTGGTCCGATACGTGCAGCTGCCCGAAGATCAGGTCGACACCGGACTGCTAGCTGACGCGAGTCGCAAGAGCTGGCCAATAACGGAAATAGACTTTCTAAATATCGTGATGTTGTGATACACCATTTTGCCAGCCCCTCCAAATCGAATTTTCACGTTGACTCTCCGGTTTCGACTAATCCTTGTAATCTCAAATTTTCCTATGGCTTCCTAAAGGCATCTCCTGGGTCTTTCCTTCGATTTTGTATTTATACGATTCTTGTCTCGTTTTGGTTTCTTTTGGCTCTTCTAATTGTTATGCGCAGATCTCCGTATAAAGCCAATTTTAGATGAAAGCCACTCCTCGGATGGCTCTTCTTGCTCGTGTTAGCCTGGACTGGCGCCGACGCCTACAAGCTGAATGTGCCGCGTCTGCTCTTCCCCTACCATCCGACGGTGCCGATGCACTTCGATTTGAAGTCGGGGAGCCCGTCGGGCGGATGCTTCAAATGGTATATTTGGCGTAAAATATCGAGAATGTTTGGTTTTAGGAGGTCAATCGCCCGGACATTGTGCAGGTTGAGCCGGCCAGTGGCGAATGCTCTGATCGGGCACGCGTTGTCTCAAGCACGAAGGTCGGGGGAACGCACAGCGCAATCATCTTTGCCGAAGAAGTGGTAGTGTCTGGTGTTTTTGAAAAATGTGTCTTTTAGGAAGCGGAACCACGCTGAGCTGCGTCGTGACGATTGATGAAGTGGCCACGATCACCATCGAGCACATAACAAGGTGCTCTACGTGGACGCCGCTCCGGCTAGGATCACTGCTGTTGCTTTCAACGCTGATGGTACCCTTTTTTTACTAATTGTTATGTTATTTTTAGGCGACAAATTCTCAACTCTCGGTCAGCTGCCTTTCGAGTGGGGAGCTGGCGACGGTTAACGGTGCTGAAACGATGCCGTTGCGTATCGTGCCGTTCGAACAGAGCAAGTGCCGGGCCCACCAAGACATCCAGGCCCTGGAAAGGCGAAGAGAAGAAAGGTAGATATTTGAAAGCTGCAGTTGGTGTTCAATTCGTTATTGTATTGGAGTGAAAATCCTTCAAATCAAATCGGTGATGAATTAGGGGCTAACCAGCTCAAATAAATCGTTTTGGGTGGTAGGTTGTGAATCGGTGGAGCGCCGTTTCTGCACATGGTGTCCTTTACAATAATTCATGGGAGTGATATTTTATAAAAGAGCCAGACGGTTGTCAGGCCTGCGCTATGGTTTTCGAAAGTTAACGAGGTAAAAACAATAGGAAATGTATGAGAATCTTACTGGGACGGGAAAATGCTAAGAGATTATAGGAAATAGGATTGGAATAAGTTTTTGGTTCATTTCTATGAGGTCTTATTTTCAAATTATTCCAAATCGGCTGGATTTGATGAAGTGGAACTCAAATAAATCGTTTCTCGGCTCAATTCAGGCTCAAATCGCTAAAATTTGAATTTATTTAAATTAAATTTGATTAAGAGCCACTCTTTTTCTAGGTTATCTCGTCCTTCTCGAAGGTCTCGTTACCGGCTCGTCCGCGATTTCTGCTCGCTTCCAAGACCCGCATTTCAAGGTCTGTTTTCTTCACCTCCTCCGAAAAACTTTTAGAATGTCCCAACCAACACTCTGGATCTCGTCGTCGTCGCCAATCTGCTGCTCGAACCAGCCCAAGATCTCTACGTGCCCACCAATTCCGATATCGCCTTCACGGTGAAGATCGTCAGGAGCGTGGCCTAGAAGGTACCAGCCGATGCTCTTATCTTTTTAATCACCGTTTTTAGATGTTCCTATGCCCTCTCCACTATACACGCTGAAGCTCGACAACGAGGACTGTAAGCTCAACAGCAAGACTTCCACGGTCACCGCTGTCAAGAAGGGCAAATCGATGCTATCGCTCAATTTGGAAAGTAAATGGACAATGCGTAAACTAATTAATTTCTTTCTCTAGATGTCGACCCCAGGGTGACAAGCAATGCCGCGGTTCGTCCTCCATCTACCCGCATCTTCATCGTCGACCCGGAGAGTCTGCAATTCGCTGTGGCTGGAAGTAAGAATCTTTTTCTACGACTTATCTCTTTTTTCTAGGCAACTGGCTGCTCGAGCGCGGACGCACCTACCGGATCAATGTCAACCTGCTTGACCCGCACGGAAATCACATGTTCATCGCCGACGTAAGATTGCCATCCGAAAGCCATTTTTTCGTTTTAGAATGCCCGCTTCGAGACCGTCTTCCCACACGACTACTTTGACATCAAGTGGAATACCAAGAACGCTACCTGGTTCGAAGTTACCCCTAAAAAATCTGGCCGTGTTAACATCAACTCGAGGCTGAACTCCTTTATCACCGAGGTAAATCTAATTTTTTCGATTTCTACGATCATTTTCCAGGGCGGCATCGAAGTCAAGATCAAGCGAAAAGTCGACGGGGAGCAGGAAGTCGAGATTGTCGACCCGATCACCGTCGCCCCTGACCAAATCGTACTGCCATTTTTGACCGGCGTTAAGTTCAACTACCCTTTGACGGTGAGTAATCATAATTGGATTTTTATATTGATTTTTTCGTTTTCCTTTCTTCTCAATTCACCGAAATTTATTTAGGCATCGGGCGGAAGTGGCACCTACTCGTGGGCCACCGAAGACCGCAGGATCGGCACGATTCATGAAGCTACCAGGATGGTCACCTCTGGACAGATCGGTTGGACGGCAGCCACGGCCACCGATCGCCGAAATCCGGCTCATTCTGGAAAATCTACGGTAATTTTCACTTGCCTCAAGTCGATGGTTGTCCTTTTTTAGCTTGGCGTCCTCGAAATCGTCTCGTTGGACTTTGGAAAGACAAGGAAAGAGGCTGAGGAGGGCAAGATTCTTTTCGTCAACGTCCAGCTCTTCGGAATCGACCGTACGAAGGGCCATCGCCATTACCCGTTCACCGATTGCCGCAACATTCCATTCGTCGTCGAGGTGCAGAACCGTGCCCATTTCGTGCACGTGCCAGGTAAATTTTGTATTTAAAATCAAAATTTTTGTTTTTTTAAGAAACCGCTTCCACCATTCCGTCCGAAGGCACGGGTTGCGCCACCATCGCTCTGCGTGCTGTCCGCTCTGGCGACACCCGTGTTACCGTCAAGTACGACAAGTACTCGGCCACCATCGATATTTCGGCTTTCCCGGCTCTCAAGGTATTCATTTCTCATTAATAAATTTCTGCTTTGTGATTCAGGTTGATGACGATCTGCTTGTCCCCGTCGGCGGCGCGTACAAGCTCAACACGTTCGGCGGACCGCGCCCTTGGCTGTTGGACAACTCGCAGTTTTTCGTCAATGGTTGGTTACCTCGTTGATTGTGATTTATGGTTTTTTGAACCGGTGGTGTTATCACAAAGCAAAAAATTTTTGAAAACATCGAAAATGAAATATTTGATTCAGGTGTCTCGCAAGACAAAGTTGTAACTGTCAAGCAGGACGATGAACAACTCACCATGGCGTGTTCCGGAAAGGAGGGCTCGACGGTATGAAAAGTATTTCCTACATCAACTTTGCTTTAGGAAATCAAACTGAGCGTCGGCAACAACCCCACTTCTTCCAACGAAATCCCGGCCGTCATCTCGACGAATGTGCGCGTTTGTTGCGGACGCCCGATTCGCATGGCTCTCGGCGTTGAGGGCCGCACCCCGAGCTCCAAGGACTACCCGAAATGCCCGAATTCTGTCAAGGTATAGATTTTTTTTCTCTTCAAAGATGTCCGTTTTAGACCGTATTTGCCTCGGCCCCATTCCAAGTCGGCGTTCGGCTTTATGGACGTTGCGGATCGAATGAGGAGGAACGTGTGATGTCCGGCATCGGCTCGCTCGATTTCACCTGGAGCCTTGGCAGCGGCAAGGACCTCCTGGCGCTTGCCAAGGAGACGAAGCACAACGAACCCGCTACTCTCGGTAATTTTAATTTTTCGCTTTTATTTTCGACATTTTACGTTTTTGAAATTATCTGTTTTCAGCTTTTGTCGACGGATATCCGAACGGCAAGGTCGGCGATGCTCTTATCAACAATGTCGTCACGAAAGTCGGTTCACACCGCCTTCCGCAGAAGCTGACCGCCTCCCTGGAACTGAAGCTGGTATGTCGATATTTTTATATTTTATTAAACTACCAATTCAGGTGAAACGCGCCACGCCTGTCCCGTCATCTCTTGTGCTCTGGAATGATCCCACTGCTGCGGCCACCATCAAGCTAAATGGCGGATCTGGACATTATCATCTGATCGATCGCTCGACGTTCTACGATGCCCTGATTTCTGATGGAAATATCAAGGTTTAACAATTTTATTTTTCGAACCCATTTCTTTTTAGGTCTCGCCAAAGAAGATCGGCCAGAGCCCGTTGCGTCTCGTCGACATTTGCATCGATTCCAGCGAGATTGTCATCCCCGTCAAGATCACGGACATCAAGGCGCTCAAGATTCAAGGACCGCAATATGTTAGTTTCTAGTCAAAGATCTTTATTTTTCGGTTACAGTTGGAAGTCACCACCGATACGGAAGTCGAAGTGCACGTTGTTGACGCTGATGACGAACCGTTCTCTGCTGAATATGTTTCTGTGATGGGCCTTGAGCTCACCTCCAGCAACACGCACGTCAAGGTCGAGAGGTAATTTTTCTATCTAATTTTTCTATTAGAATTTTTTAGGCAAAACGGCATGAAGTTCGGATCCGCGGCCAAACCGTCGGCGAGGTTGCCCTGGTAGCTGCCGCTCGTTCTTCCGGAGCCGGTGCGATACGCAGCCGCCAGCATATGATTCAGGTTCGGCGTTTCTTTCCCACAAAACTATACTATTTTAGGTGTTCGCCCCGATGCGCTTCCAGCCGAAGATTGTCACCTTGGTTCCGGAAAGCACCTTCCAGGTTTGCCATTCCCTCCAGGCTATCATTATTTTTTTAGCTCGAGGTTATCGGTGGTCCTCGCCCGACGCCGCCAATCTCCTTCTCCACCAATACGTCTCGTCACATGAACATTGCCGCCAACGCCCTGATCACGTCGAAGAACGAGCTGGGCTACACTCTCGTCACCGGCACCATTCAGCAATCCGACGGACGTAGCACTACGGTAATGCTTGCACAATTAGCTTAAGTAACCAAAAATTTTTCGAAAACTAACGCTTTGAAACTCATGGTAGAAAAGATCAAACATTTGTTTCAGGACTCGGTCTTGGTGAAAGTTGTCTCGCTGGCTTCGATCCGCATCCGCGTCTCTTCGAACTACGTTGAAGCCGGTGGCAAGGTCTGGGCTCGCATCGATGGAATGCTGGACGATGAGACTCCCTACTCCTTCGGAGGCGCTGAGTGGCCGCTCAAGGTTTGTGAAAAATTGTTGCTTGTTGAGACCCGAATTTCTAGGTGAACTGGTCGCTCGGCGACGCCAGCGTGCTCAGCCTCGACTCGTCAAAGCTCGGCACGGCTCTCGAGGAGCCTGAGCAGAACCGCTTCTCCATCTCGCTGAACGCCAAAAACGCCGGAAAGGGCACGATCAAGGTCCAAGTCGAGATGCACCCCTCGGCAACGCGCCACTTCCAGGTATCAGCTAAATTCTTTTATTTATTCCCTTTTAGGGAAAATCTCGTATTTTCAATGCCGAGGCCACGATCACCGTCGATGAAGCTCCGGCTCTGGCTGACCCGAACATGCCGCTGACGCAGATTCGCATCGCGCCCGACACCGAGTACAAGCTGCTGAGCAAGTGGTGAGTTTCTGCGAATTTTTGGGTGTGTATAATTTATTTATGTTCTTTCTTATTTTGTGTATGGCTCAGGGTGGAATTCCCCTTTGCACGAAACTCGGGCATTTCGATGGCCTTAATTTTCGGGTTCAAAAGCGCGAACAGCTCCTCGTCAGGGAAGAGGGAGCGGCCCTTATCTGAATTACATTATTCAATGCCATGTCTTTCTTACCGGGAGTCGGAAAGGCATCGCAACCTTTTTCTCCGTTCGGGCCGATGCTCATGCGACAGACGGCCGCATCGACGTTAGAATTGTAGATCTAGTTTCTCTTTTTTAGGCCACAAGCCAAACCTTACCTTCAGAATTTTATTTAGCTCCTCTGCTCGCTTTTCCATTTCATTTCTGTAGGTTTGCAAATTTCGCCGGATTGTGGGAGCGGCGATTTGGTTGTAGATACCAATAGACTAAAAAAATTGATTAAAATTAGAGCCGTTGTTTTTTGATCACCCTCAGCTGAATCAAAGAATTCCGCGCAATGTTGGCTAGCAGCTTTCCTTGCATCGCCAGCTCCTCGATCATTTTTATCGTTTGGAGTCGCGTGCTCTCAATCTGTAGCGAAATTTTGAAAGAATTTTTCAGTAGAATTAGAAGTTTTTTTTGGATGATTTATGGTCAAACCCACCTCGGCATTTGCTTCATAAGCCGCTGTATTAATTAGATAGCGTTGCTCGACGGTAAATGCTGTAATTGTTCGAGCGACCAGGAGGGCCTGAAATTTGATTTACTTTGAGGGGTTATTTTATTTGCATTTTTTGATTTATTTTCGTTATTTAGTTTCTACGTTAATTGGATAAAAATGAAAAAACTTAGTTTCCACAAAGTATTCTATTTTTCGAATTTTTCATAAGGTAAACGTAGTCGATTGAAAATCCATCGTAAAACTATTGAAAAATTGGCCAGAAAACGGACCTGCTGCGCCTCCTGCGCCTTATCCATCACCAATCTCGCTGCCGTATTCGTGTTATTCATGGCCTGATTTTCTATCGAAATAATATACGCCAGCCCGGCATCCACGCTCCTTTGCATCGTCAGCTGGTTGACCATCGTCCACGGGTTGTACCATAGTGAAATCGGCGACAATTGGGCCAGCGCCCCAGTTATCAGCACGAAAATGTAGAGCGCCATCCCGTTAACCATACACTGGTCCCGAAACAACTCGAGAAATGATCATCCCGCGCACCGGGGCTCCCTCAACTTTTTTACCCATATTCATCGGTGTGTTTCTCCGGCCCGCGTGTGCGCCGTTCTTTCGGGATTGGCGTAACCTATCAATTTCCGAACGGTTTTTGCCATGTTCCCCAATTTTCTCTCTCTCACATCGCTAACCAGTCATCCGGCTCGCCGGTGATTTCTGATCCAATCCGGGCGCGTCTAATTGGAAATGGCAGTTGGGGCATAGTTTTACACTTGGTAGTTTGGGTACAATTTTTCTTTTCAGGGATGAGAGCCAAGTCAGCTGGAGTGTGCCGCCAGCCTTCAACTCGCTGCTGTCGATCACGAAGAACGGGCTTCTGCGCACTTTCTCGACTTCCGGACCGGCTGGACTGTTGAAGGCCGAGTCATCGTCTGGCGCTAACAAGACGCTGCTGGTTCCGGTGCAGGTGCGGATTTTGAGTAATTCTATAAATTTGGGGTTTTAGCTTGGCCTAATTTTTATTTTCAAAAAGCAATAGGCCTAGCAAAAAGCAAAAATTTTTCTTTCTAGAGTTTATTTTTTGTTTTGGGTGTTTTTAATCGAAAAATTTCGAAATTCGAAACACCTTGAGAAAATATCTCAACTTTGAATTTTTTGAACATTGAATAATTTTTGGTAAAAACTTTTTCTGCGTCAAAAAAGGCGTAAACAGCTAGATAAATGGCGTGATTTTATGCTTGGGACTCTGTGGACTAATTTAGGCCCCCGCGAAAAGCCCAGTCCGACCAAAAACGACATTACGATTTGCAAAACACCTTTTTTTAGATCACCCCCGCTCGCTCAATCTGGGTCGAAGTTTTCCCGCCGCTCTCGGCCCCGGAATCTTCTCCACTGACCGCCCTCAATGTTGGCCAGACGCTCGATTTGTACGTCCACTTCCGCGACCGTTTCGGCGTCCGCCTCGTCGCGGCTCCGAATCGGGTCAACTTCCGTCCGCATCGGTACATTTAGTTCTTTATTCTAATTCCATTTTTTAGCTTTGACCTTACCGAAATCGCCGCCTCGAATGGCAACCGCACACTGGCCATCACCCTGAAGACGCCTGGTGAGACGGTGCTGCGCATCTGGGACGCCGAAGATCAGAGCATTGAGACGTTCATCCGCTTCTCGGCCGCCGATCTCCCGCCACCAGATGCCAACGAGACCACCAAGGACGAGTCGATCTTGAAGGCAATCGCCGAGCCGTCGTGCCCGATTCAAGGCGCATCCACCGCTGACAAAGCGAGCAGTAAGTTGTCCCTCTTTTGATTTTATGCTCTTCCTAGGCTTTGAACGGCTTGGATTCTTCGACTGGTTGCGCTATATGTCTAAACATCTGGTGACACTGCTGTGCGGCTGCGGCCTGCTGATCATCACCACATGCTGTAAGTTGCTATTGCTTTTTGATACATTTTTTCTTTTTAGGTTGGATTCTTTTGCGACGCTCGCCGTCCAAGAAGGGTGCCGCTAACCACAACACCACCGGGGTGTTCGCCTCGGATCGCTCGAACGCGAATGTGACCTACGGCAGCTCGCCCGGGTCTTCACCTTCAGGTGCGCTTTTAGGTTCTTCTGCATCATCGGGGAGGGGCTAATTTTTTCCTATTTTTGTTTGGCAAAAATTAATAATAATTTACCTTTGAAAAAGTAATAGACTTAGAAAATCCTTAAAAATTTTGAAAATATGAAGTGTGAAAAAATACCCACTTTCTCGCAGGATCAGAAAGTTTTGAATTTTTTTTATCAAAATTTGTGGGGTTTTTGAGGTTTAGGACGCGAGGAAAAAATGTAAAAGCTATTCATGTAGTTATATTAGAAAAATTTGTACAAGCGTTGTCCCCCGATAATACGAAAGCTCCGGCTGATCAGAAACTAATCGTTTTTAGTGAGCTACACCTGGCAAGAGAACCCGCCGCGATTCCACTCAACGCCAATCGAGACGTCATCGATGGGCCCAATCGGCTCCGGAGGCTCTCCCCAACTGTGGACCACCAGCCCGGTGCGACGCCGCGTCTAAATCCCGTTCCCTCATTTTGTTGTTGTTGCATTGTTCCCGCTCACGTTGTTATTCTAATGTTGTTGCCCTGTCGAAAACGGTGAACTCCCCAAGTGATCTCTTTCTTTCATTCTCCATAGGCACCTCCCCCCTCCTTTGATCCTGCCCACCCATTCACTGGTATCTTCTAGCACTCCTTGTTCCGGGCATCGCCAAACGTTTCTAGGTCTTCTTTAAAATATGACAAATGCCGGTGCGTATCAATTTGGTTGTAGCCCCCGATTTCCCGTTGAAACTGGTATTGTACTCTTCCCTTCCTTCACCCACACCCCCGATTCGCTCAAAAAAACGGGTACTGGTTAGTTAGCGAGGGGGCTTGATTTTAGCAGGGAAGCTATTTTTCTAAGTTTTCCGTAGTCGAATCATCCAAGCCAGCTATTTTCATCGGATTTACGCCTTTTTAGACATAAAAAGTTTTTTAAAAACTCCAAATTTTGGAATTTTTGATTTTTGGCCAAAAATGTACGAAACTGTCAAAAAATCTGCTTGGCAATCGTAAACTGCTAAAAAGGTCCTAAGAATGCCCTATTTTTGGCACAAAAGAAATTAGGCGGAATAAAGGAGGTCAGTTGCCCACTACTACGCCCCCGCTAGCGCACCAGTACCCAAAAAACGGAGGACCGGTAAAAGTAGACGGGCGGCGGGTTTTTCGGAGGCGTTCCAGCCGGTAAACAACAACTTCCGCACGTTGCGGCACTCACGAACGCCGGGCCGACCTTGACCACTACGTGCCGCTGGCCCTCGTTCTTGCATTATCAGAAAGCGTGGCGCCCTACCCCGAAATTCGCCCCCGCCGTTATCGCCCATTGTTGCTTTGGATTTTTGCCCCGTTGCTTTCTCTATTCTTTCCCAGTTTCCTTTGGCCGATCCGCAAATAAATATTAACCAATTTGCCTGCTTGTAAATGCGTCTAACAACAACGGAATTTCCCTGCACTGATTCTGACAAGCACGACGTTGAAGGTTCTTTCTGTGAGCATCGGGATTTTTCTTTTGTTTTCAGGGATGAATCGAGGGCTTCTCTTCCGTCAGGTTGGACTTTCAAAACAAGCTTTTAGCTAGCTTCTTTAGCTCTTCGAGAAAACCTCGTCGACGTACACCTACATTCTGGGCTGTCAGAAGACGCGAGAGGCGATTATTATCGATCCGGTCAAGGAGACGGCGCCAAGGGATGCAAAGGTGTGATAATCCGACTGGGCAAAGAACGCTGATTTTGAGCGACTGGCTTATCATGCCGAAAACTAAGACATATTCGCAACAGCTTTGTACATAATATTTCCGTTGCAGTTGCTGAACGAGCTGGGCTTGTCGTTGCGATGGGCGTTGAACACCCACGTCCACGCTGATCACATTACCGGGACCGGCGCGTTGAAGCAGGTAGATTTTTGTAGGCGTGCAATTATCATCAGCTTTTAGCTCATCCCCGGGGTCAAGTCCGTCATCTATAAGGCGGGCGGAGCACGGGCTGATCATCTGATCGAGCACGGGGATGTTATTCAGGTGAGGATTAGAATATTTCGCGCATTTTTTACCAAGTAGAATTTATTTTTGCAAACAAAGTGTCAAACCGGAGCCTGGAAATTATTCTTTTTAGTTCGGCGGTGAAGAAATCGAAGTACGCGCGACTCCCGGGCATACGAACAGTCGGTTTCTACTTTTACTCGTAAAATGTACAATTTTAGGCTGCGTCACCTACGTCCACCACGGCGGCCGCATGGCTTTCACCGGCGATGCGCTGTTGATTCGTGCTTGTGGGAGGACGGATTTCCAGGAAGGTAGGTCCTTGTGAAACCGGCTTTTCTTTTTGATGAAGTTTATATGAATTTACGTTTAGGCTGCCCGCAGCGTCTCTACAAATCCGTCTGGGAACAAATCCTGTCGCTGCCCGAAGATTATTCGATTTTCGTCGGCCACAACTACGAGGGAATTGAGCAGACCAGTGTTGCGGGTATTTTATAAAATTTTCTGTTTCATAAAATATATTTAGAAGAGAAAAAGTTCAACCCACGCCTAACAAAAAGCGAGGAGGAGTTTGTGCACATTATGAAGAATCTGAACCTCTCCTACCCCAAGCAAATTGGTAATTATTTTTTACGCGGCCAATTTTGTTTTTTAGATCGCGCCTTGCCCGCCAACCTGGTCGACGGAGAGCTGGAGGAGAAGCACGAGGCCTAGGCGAAATGAAGCTGTAGCAATGTATAATTTTATTCTGTACCATGCTGAAGTAATCTGTGATTTTGTGCCTTGTGTTTAGTCCATGTCCGTGATAAATTGAGGGTAATCAAAACTATTTGGATGGAAAATCACATGGCATAAGTTGAAGCTCCCTTATTTGTTGAGATTTCCGTTTTTGAAAGAAGCAAGTAGGCTCCAATTTCCGAACACCCGCCTTTCTGCGTTGTCAACAAAGGCCGGGGCGTAGCCGCTAAATAACCAATTTGATAGCGTGTTGCTGGGCGACCCCGGGGTCGAAGAAGCGGAAATGGTTGTCGTTGCGACAGTTGACCTGGATTTGGCTCAATAACTTTGTTTTCACGTTCCTACGAAAATTTGTTGCCGATTAATGCTCATTACAACTTTTTTTCAGAGCCTATGGCTGAGACTACATTAGAAGTAGGAGATCGAATTTTCGTCAATTTTGCCGGGGAGCCGGAACAACGCGGATTTTACGATATTTAGGCCCGGTGGATGGGCAGAAAGGTGAATTACGCAGTTGAAAAATAATATTCGTTTCGGTTTTAGGAACCTGGTGCGGTATCGAATGGGATGACGTGACGAGGGCAAGCACAATGGCACCGTCAACGGAAGGGATTATTTTCGGACTCGGTTAGTCGAGAACCCGACGTTTTACAACAATTTTGTATTTTCTAGAGAGCCAAAAGCCGGATCGTTTGTCAAGCGAGAGCTGGTGTCGGGCGGCAAAAATTTGTTTAGCCAGGTTGGTTGTTTATGAAAAACTCGGGCTTCTCGCTTGTTTCATAAAACTTTAATCTTGTTATTAGCTTCATTTTTACAGATCGAAGAGCGATATGCAGTGGACGAGGACAACGAAGAAAACGAATTTATGGGTTCCCGAATGGTCGAAAAAGTTGGGATGCAGAAGGTGCATCAAAAACAAAGGTAGCCTCTTTTCTCCTATTATTGTTTTCTAAAAAAATCCTTGCAACTATACGAGCTTTTCAGGGACATCTTCCGGCTGAAAATGATCGTCCTTGATGGTATGCGAGTTGCGAAACCGCCACCCCTGTCGACACCTCTTTTTAGCTGCTGTAGCGAGCTGAATTTGCACAATAATCTCTTGCACAGGTAGAATTACTATTAACAAGAAATTAACGTGTTTTTTTAGATGGAAAGACGTGTTCGACATTGTCAATTACTTCCCAAACCTGAGGGAGCTGATTCTGAGGTGGGAGTTCTTCGAAAGCTGAGTTTTGAACTTTAGGCAAAACGCAATGGAAAATGTGGACCGAGTCGATGCTTTTGCCGACTACCCCGATGTAAAGGCGCCAGTTTTTCACTTGGTGCTGAATTATTGCGGTGTTTCGGAGACGACGGTAAGTGGATTTTTTCAAGAAAAAACAACATATTCTTGAAGATCACCGCTGTGTTGTCGAAATTCCCGGCCGTCACAGATCTGTACGCCAGCGGCAATTGCTTGACTTCATTCAACCCGGGAGGTTGTGGGAAAAATTTGAGGTATATCAACTCATCAGGAATTACCAAAAAGTTTCAGGCTCGTCGACCTCGAGCACAATCCGATCACCAGCTTCGCTTCGATCGACTCGGCAAACGCGATTACTGGGTAGTTTCGATAAATTTTTGTTATTTGTCCTTTTAGGCTCGATTCCTTGAGCTTGATGAATTGCCGCGTTTCGGAGGTTGCGCTTTCCGGACGATTTCCAAACCTGAAAACGCTGTATTTGAAGGGGAATCCGTTGAACGAGGTTCGTTCTATATAATTTTTAGCAAATATTAAATGATTTTCACAAAAATTGCTATTTTCATCAACGTTTTTAGTGGTCTGCTATCAACGCGTTATCCTCTCTCAAATCTCTCTCGACCCTCTTCATTAGCTCCGCGAATTTTACGGCGGAAAATGGCATGGATGTGCGAGAGGTCGACTTCAGTTTTCGACAACTAATTAATTTGCTAACTTCAGGTCCTCATCGCCAAATTGCCAACGATAACGATGTTGAATCGAGGTGACGTGAGTGTCGTTGAGCGGCGATCCGCTGAAATGAGGTTTTTAAACGTTTGAAGCTTGATATTCCGATTCAGATTCGTCAATCGCTACAGCCAACTCGCAGAAGCTTTGAAGGCACCTCACGAAGCCGACCTCAAGCGACTTATAGCTGTAGGTTTCTTAGAAGTGTCATTTTCTGCTTTTTAGATTCACGGCGAGCCGATCAAGGAAACCGTCAAGAAAGGAATTTCGGTGATACGCGTGAAATTGATCTACGAGGGTAAAATGGTGGAACGGCCAGTCCCGGCGTCGATCACGGTATTGTAGCCTTTACATCTGAAAAATTTTTTGATTTCGTCTAGGTTGCAAAACTACAAGAAATCGCGGCGCGCGTATTTTCGCTTGACCCCTCCGGGGTGACGTTGTTTGTGGAAAAGGAGGTTTGCCGGATTTAGCTATTCTCATAAAGTTCTACTTTTTAGGGCCGAACCCCTGACGAGCTATCGATTCTGGCCCGACAACTCTCCTTCTACTCCATCGAGGCCGGCGACACGATACGGATTGATGCCTGATTTTGCCCATTTTTAATTTATTCAAGTTTCTGTGATTTGTACCGCATTCTTTTTCTTTGCTAGTCTGTGATTTTTCGGGTATGTGCTGAGATTCTGTTAATAATAATGATATTGAGCTTAATAAACGTGCTAAACTTCGATTTTGTTATTCTGACATTGGTAAAAATCCATTTCAAGAAATACAACGTTCCGAAGGTGGTTAATATGATAAGAAAACCTGTTTAGTTCGAAAGCTCGAACTCAAACATGCCGGAAAGTGACAGCGACGTAGAAGTGATTGCTGGCTCGTCGTCAAGCCCCGGGTCTGCATCAGACGTCATGGCCCGCAAGTCACAGCCCCCGTTTCAGCAGAAGAAGCCCCAAAGCCGCGCGTCATCTACGAGTACATTGTCAGATGCTGTAAGTTTTCAAAATTGATAAAATACGTTTTTCTTCTACTTTCCATCTGTTTTCCTTTTGTCTTTTAAGATATCTTTTCTAGGCGTCCGGTTAGAAGCGCTAAATCGAACATGCTGCGCCGCCATCCGTTTGATGCATAGACTCTATGAAAGGAAGATTGTCAAGTTTATCTGTAACTATGTAAGTGTTTTTGTCTGCTCTTACCTTAAACCTATATTGTCCTTTGCTTAGCCTGTAGTCTATTATATACCTTACAAAATATATTCTATTGTTTTGAATTCCTCGCCACTGCCTGCATCATGGTGGCCGCGAAAGCGAGGAGGACTCCGGGATTCAGATCAGGGACGTCGTCAATGTTTCGCTGGGGATTCTTCACCTGCAAAAGCCCGCCCATCGAGTCGACGACTCGTTTTGGACCTTACGGTTTTTAAGATTCTCATTTTTCATCATGTTTCAGGCGTTCGCTCGGCCGGCTAGAATTTGTCGTGCTTCATGAGCTCTCCTTCGATACGTACATGACACATCCACATCAGGTAAATTTTGAAGCATTCTTATAAAGTTACTTCCGATTTCGTTTTTTTTAGTTGAGTACCCTTTTGATTTTCAGCTCTTGGCAACGTTCTGCCTTGACTTACTCGCCTCCTGGATGCCGGAGGAGTTTGAAAAGTACGATTTTCTGGCTCCTTTTTAGAAACTTTTTTAGGTTCGACATCCGAGAACAAGCGTTCGCCATTCTCCGTGACTGCCACATCGTTCCCGAGTTTGTGCTCGACGCCGCTACGGGAGTCTGGCGCTTGTGGTAATTTTTATCGCCCAAAAATTCATACTCATTCTCAGGCGCTCTCGCTCGTGCTGAGGGGCCACGATCTTAATACGTGCCGAATTGTCGCGATTTCTATACGGTAGATCTCCTTTTACAACCCTGAAAAAGATTTGTTTAGAGTTTTCTCAAGCACATGAGCAGCGGAAATTGCGGCACCTAGAAGAGGAGGTTCTTCAAGAGTCGTCTACAAGCAACGGCTAAAATGACTGGTCTATTTTGTTTCCCATTTTCTGTTATTGTATCCATTGTTATTTTTTTATGCTCAACACTTGATGAAGATATTTATCGCAACCATGATTCCGCATTCGATTAATTTCAACTTTCTAATGGCAGTTATTCTTTTTCTTCTGGCGCGCCCTCATCGCGGTCGCTTCCCCGCTTGTGGAAAGTTGAACGCTGGGCGCTTCGGGAGCTTAGCTTCCTGGTAGGCGGTTGGAGCTTCTGAAAGTATTCTACTTCCGGTCACTATGGTTTTAGCACCTCTTCGAAGGCTCCTGTCGAACTCGCGCTCATTCCGCTGGCGTTGCATCAGAATCAGCGGGTGAGCACGTGGCCGACCAGCCAGATGCCGACGGCCAAATAGAGCAGCGGATCTGGAAGTTTGGCTTGTTTTTCGGAAGTATGCTGTAAAGCGACCCCGGAAATTACATGGTCGTCGTTGTCTGGCCGCGTCATCGTCGGCAAACGCGCGTATCTCTTCGCGATCCTCCTCGGTGAAGTCTTCCTCGGCGAGCAACACCATCGGGTTGAACAGCTCATCTGGCTCGTCCTAGGAGTTATTTAACAGAACCGTATTGAGTTGCAACAAATGTTTCAGGCTAAGATTTTAGCTGAAAACAAGCTTCAGAGGCTCGGAATAGGATAGCTGGTTACCGGAGGAGCTTGAACTGCTCCAGAGTAGAAGACCAGCGAGACCAGCTACAACCACCCTCAATAAATCATATCTGCGAAGAAAAATTTCGGGGCAATAATCCCCATTCAAATGTATTTCCCGAAAAATTGTGCATTCTCGACCAAATTTTCCGGGAAAAACGTTTATCAATTCCAACCAAGTAACAACAAGTAACAACCTGGTAACAATTTTAACAATGTGAATTATCAATTTTGGCCTTTTAATTGATGCTTCCTCCTCGTCCAGTCGGCCTTCTTGGACTTCCTCTTCTTCTTCGCTTCCTCCTCCAGCGCCACGTTTTCCATCTCCTCGTCCGGCGTCCCAGCAACGGCGCTCTTCTTCTTTTTCTTCGGCGGCGGCTCGTCGGCTTCTTCCTAGAAATAAAATGTATTGCGAAACAAAAGGAAAACCGACCTCAGCAGTCTCATCCAAAATCTTCTTTGCTTTGTGGCGGCCTTCTTCCTCTTCTTGAGAACCTTGGTGCAGGTGCCTACTGCTTCCTCTTCAGCTGCCTTCATCACGTCAATGTTTTTGGCGGGGACCTCTCCAGGTCTCGAAGTAACGGAGTCGCTCTTCAACTTGTGCGCGCGCAGTTTCTCCGAAAGTTTCGACGGGAACCTCGGAGAAGCAATCAATGCGGGATGCCATTGTGCACTTGTTGGCCAGGAATCGCGAGATGCGACCCTTGTTCTTGGCGGCGGCGCGTCCGATGAAGGTGAGTGGAACAGCAGTCCGTACTTGGGCGTGTTGGCTTCGCGTCAGGAGGGCTCGGAACAGCGCCTTTTCTGCACCGAGGATTTGAATAGTTGAGGCGGGGGAACTTGGCGAGGTTTGTTAGAGATCCGGCATGTGAGATCAGACGAGCACCGACCTAAAAGAGTTGATGCATACACGAGATCGGAACAAGGGCAAAAGTAACAACGGAAATTGTACGGACCTGCTCGCCAACGAGGGCCGAAAGTGACGGAGCGCAGCTGTGCATACGGTCCTTGATATATCCGTGGAGACGCTGACGGTACTCGGTAAGTGATGCGACACGGGCAGCGAATCTATAGCAAATGTAAAAACTTAGAAAGCTTGTGGATACCTTTCAATGTTCATCAGATCCAGATCCGGAAATGTCCATGCCCATAGATGTGCGAGCAGCCTCGACGATTTCAGAAACCTTTTCTTCGCCTTCGATGATTTCTAAAACAAAAGTATGAAGCTGGGTTCGGTAAATATACCCAGCAACTTCGCGGGTAGCTCCGGGTCTTCTGAAGACTTGTTGCGATCGAGGATGGCGACGGCGCACCGCACATATTTGTATTGGTCGCCGACGATCTTGTAGAGCTCTGGGTAGTGGTACGAGGCCCACTCGCGGATGCGTATTCCGAAGAGGTTGATGTCCTTGTCGAGCTGGTCGAGCAAGGCAATGATTGGATGACCATGTTGTCGACACGGTGAACGTCGAATTTGACATAAATGAGCGATATTCTAGAATGATGCATAAATAATTCCGCCTTTCCACGAGAATAAGAGTGACCAAGCGAGGATTGGGCCTTGGACGGCGAATGATGGGGCAGCTTCAGCGGCGAAAGCGTCTCAAAGTGAACACGGATGCCGCGGAGGATCTCGGTGATGAGATTTCCGAAGGTCGGCTTTCAATTCGAGGAACGACTCCGCCAATGAGCTGGCCAGCTTTCCGTCGTTGACACCGATGATAACCTTCTAAACGAAGAGAGGATACAGAAACAAGGTGAATAAATTACCTTCTTCTTTTGCGGTAGATTCTGCTGGAGGAAGTTGATCAAATCGGCATGGGCAACACCTTCGGAAATCGAGTTGCAGTTCTCGAGGCAGACTCAGTGTTCTTGAATGGATCGAAGGCGATCAGGTTGACGATGTTGGAGAATTTCGACACATCGCCGACAAGAGTCATTGACCTACAAGAAATGGAGTGCATTGGCAAAATGTTCAAAAAACCCTTGGCATTCAATCTGGGTTGCGAACTGACGCAACCGAATAAATTTTCCGCTGGCAAACTAAGGGTCCCCCAAAAGCCATAACTTCTCACCTGTGGTAGAATGTTGCCGGCATCCTCAAATTAATTGACTTTGAAGAGAGCGTAATCCAACGGCGTGCTCGTAGAGCACGAGAAATGCGGCACCTCCGCATGACGGGCAGTTCCGGATCACGCACAAATTCTCGATTACGATGACCGTCTCGGGTATAATCCCACGAGAAACGGCATCGGATCAGCGATTCTGATCATCGGGACGAAAGGTCCCTCATAGAAACGTGCGCTTGCGGCACGTCTCGGCGAGATTTCGTACATGAATGAAACCAGGGAAATGGTTTCAGAAACGGACTCATTCGCAGAGTTTGGCATTTTTAGTGAAGAGAATGTGAGAAAAACGCCGAGGTCGAGGCACGAGGAGAAAAACTACCGTAGCGGGACGGCGTTGGCGATTTGCCAGCGACTTCAGAACACAGAGATTCGAGTCGCGGATAAGCGCTTGCTAAGAAATAAAGAAAGTGCCTTGTAAAATGAAATAAAAATAGAAATTTATCATGATTTTTGCAGAAATAGATAGCGCTAAAAAGCATTTATAGTTTTTTCGATCATTTGGGCTCGGCGTCAAAAATATCCTAGAGAAGATAGAAGAGAAAATGGCTGGCCAAAGTTTTGCTAAGAAAGAAACAAAGTTTTTTAGAAAAAGAAATATAAATAGCTTATCATGATTTTTCAATACATAGATAATAGAGAGAGGAATAGAAATACATAGTTTTTTCAGGAAAATCCTGGAGATCAAACTTGTGGGAAGGTGAAACTAGCAAAATTTGTCGGAAAAGTTTCCTTTTTCCTATTCTTCTCGTTTTCCAAATATTCATTTTACAGGGTATGTCGGCACTTCGCAACATCAACGGGCTGAAGGCCATCGTCAGTGGCGGCGCCTCGGGTCCGGGATTTGTCGCTGCAAGGTGCTCGCTAGTCAAGGTTAAGTTCTTTGCTTTTCCCAAAAACCCTTTTAGGAGCGAAAGTCGCCATCCTTGATCTCCCCACATCGAAGGGAAACGACGTGGCCAAAGAGCTGGGCAGCAACGTCATTTTCGCCCCGGTCGACATCTCCAAGCGAGGAGCAAGTGAAGGCCGCCTTCGACACGGTCAAGGAGAAATTCGGGGGTAGGTTGTGACGTTAGATTATGAATTCGCGAGTTTAGATGCGATGCAGTCGTGAATTGCGCCGGAATCGCGCACGCCTACAAGCTCTACTCGGTAAAGAAGCAAAAGATGGCTGAATTCGATAAGACGAGAAAAACGATCGAGGTGCTTTTCTCAAAAAGAGGTGACTTTCGTTTTGGGTGAACGTCTCGGCAGCCTTCCATATGGCGCGTTACGCGGTGGCACTCATCGGCGAGAACAAGGCCGACGAGCACAACCAACGAGGCGTTTTCATCAACACCGCTTCGGTCGCCGCTTTTGACGGACAAATTGGGCAGGTTTGTGTTATCACAAAGAAGCTTGAATTCTTCTTTCTACAAATGCTCGTGTTTAGGAGATATTCTCTAGCCGATTAGATGGATCTTGAAATTCGCGAACTAACGAAAAAGCAAAACCGACCGATTTTTCTTGTTTTCAGTCCGCCTACTCGGCCTCAAAAGGAGCCATCGTCTCGATGACTCTACCATTGGCGAGAGACCACGCCGAGGACGGAATCCGCTTCATGACGATCGCCCCCGGGCTGTTCAACACCCCGCTACTCGCCGGGCTCCCGGAGAAGGTCAAGAGGTTCTCCCCGGCTCGTGCCGAACCCCTCGCGAATGGGCGAGCCAGAGGAGTACGGGGCGCTGGTGAAGCATATCATCGAAAACAGGCGAGTTATAAGACCTCTTTCAAGCTTTAAGTTTTCAAATTGGCGATTTTCTTTCACTATTACTTTTTGTCTTTTAGGTATCTCAACGGAGAAGTCATCCGGTTGGACGGCGCCCTACGCATGCCGCCGTAAAAGCGCCAGGATTCGACGATAACCTTAGAAGCATTTATCGGATATTCGTGTTTCATTTTCCAGTTTTAATAAATATTGTCTTAGCTTTTCGATACGACATAACGATTTTTAAGGCACTTTTCGCGCAAGTTCTAGTGGTGGCTCCCTGGGGTGGGTTATATGCCAGGGCGCGAGGAGACTGGCGCGAAAGGACGCCGTTCAACCGGGCTGGCATTCAAATTGGGGCCTCGAGGTCGCAAGTGCCAGCCAGTGACCGGTTGCCGTTTCTTATGGTAGAGTTACGAAACAGAATTTGAAGTCTTGACGCTAAACGCCGGTTTGCACCCGAGGTGCCTTTTAGAATACGCCAGTGTACAAAGGGCTACCCGTCGGTTACGGTAGGACAGTCGACCTGCTCGATTTTCCTTTTCATGTTCCATTTCCTACTTTTCTAGCAATTTTCGGGCGTCTGGCTGCCTCGCGGTAAGCATTCGCAAGTTTTTCATCTTATTTTGGCCTATTATTCTTATGTATCTTTTCCAATTTTCCAATTGCACTTGGTAGTATTCAAGTTGGCGCGAACCACTAAGTTGCTTTTGGCCCTATTTTCTTGACCCATTGTTTTTGGTTTACCAGATATTTGTACTTCGGTTGGTTCGTTTTAGAACTTAGGATTAGTTTCGTATTATCCTTGCACGCTAGGACTTACTTGGCTAGGACACTTAATTCACCCCCTCCCCACTGGCGCTCACCTTTCTTATCTAAAATGGCCCTCCCAAATTCATATTTTTTTCAATTTCCTTTCGGCTTCCCCTTTTTATATCAGCTTTTTCAGGTGGTGATGGCACAGCCTCACTTTTCGCTAGATGACTTCCAAAGTTGGAGAAGATCGGCGAAGGAACTTTATGGAGTCGTCTACAAGGGGGCGCAACAAGAAGACCAACCAGACGGTCGCCATGAAGAAAATCCGGCTCGAGGTTTGCCGCCCTCCTTTGCCCCTATTTACGTTTGATTTTAGGCAGAAGATGAAGGCGTCCCTCGACGGCCATCCGTGAAATCTCGCTACTCAAGGAGCTGAAGCGCCGGAACGTCGTCCGACTGGGGACGTGATCATGCAGGTACATTTTGCTAACATTACTTTTATTTTGTGGTTTAGGAAACCGCCTCTACTTGATCTTCGAATTCCTCTCGATGGACGCAAAAGTTCTCGACCAGCTGCCCGCACGAACAATGCTCGACGCTGTGACGATGCAGAGCTACATGTTCCAGATCTTGCAGGCCATGTGCTTCTGTCATCAGGTATTATTTGATATTATATTCATACTAATCTCTCAATTTGGCGCTGTGTCATCTGAGATCTGAAGCCACAAAATCTGCTGGTCGACGGGAAAGGAGGAATAAAGCTCGCCGACTTTGGGCTGGCCCGCGCTATCGGAATCCCGGTGCGCATCTACACACACGAGGTGAGGGTGTTTCTTTTCAAAACTTGCTTTCAGGTCGTAACACTATGGTTTTGGGGCCCCGAAGTGCTACTCGGCAGCAAGCGTTACTCGATGGGCGTCGACATGTGGAGCATCTAGCGTGTATCTTCGCAGAGGTATCCAGTAGTTTTTGAGAAAAGTATAACGCTTTTAGATGGCCACAAAGGCCCTGTTCCAAGGCGACTCGGAGATCGACGAACTCTTCCGCATATTCCGCATCATGGGCGCGCCGACCGAGGAGGAGTGGAGAGGGTATCTCTCCGATCGACGACTTCGAGGCCACCTTCCCCAAGTGGAAGTACAGGGCGGACTCAGAGACTACGCTCAGCGAGCATCTCTCAACAAAGAGGATCTCCATTTGCTCCGGGTATGTGATTGTGTTTTTTTTGTTTGGTCCAACTTATCGTTTTCATATTTATTTATTCTTTTCTTTTAGGAAATGCTCATCTACGACCCGTCGCTGCGCATCTCATCGAAGCGTGCCTCTGTAGCACCCCTACTTTGACGACGGTGACTCGAACATGCTGCCCGCTGGAAACTACCGCGGTGGATTGATCCTGAATTAAGGCCTGTGGTACATTTTTCTGATTATCGCCCGGTATCGATAAATATTCTCCACTATCGGGACCATTGGCCGGGAAGGGGAAGTGGCGGGGCGGAAGACGCGTGAGCGCGCATTTGGAAAGAGTGAGCCGTGAAACTGTGTTCTGCCATACAAATGTGGGAGAGCATCTATGGGAACTACGAGGACGCATGGGGTGTTTGATTGGAAATTCCGGCAGCAGGTTGACTTTGGAGATTGGTTGAATGGGGACGAGTTGAGTGGCGCGATGGTGTTGTTCTTATTGTTGGCAAGCAGGCAATCATCCTGAGCCGTGTAGGAGACGCTGCTTGCCGGTTCCTGGCCGAATCGACGAGCAGCTCTTCCACCGGAGCTGATGCTGGATCCCTGAAAGTCATTTCGAGGGTATTCTACTTTTTGATTTGGATACCTACTCGATCGCCGTCGCAGCAGCATCTTATTTTGGAAAGATGGCAACGGCTACAGCGACAAAGAAAATGATCAGGAACAGCTGATGGAAGAGGAGGATCTGCAAGGTCTTTTTACAAATTAGGCTTGTTTGAACCAACAGTTCGCCCCTTGGCCCGCGCTTCTTTCGCCACCAAAAATGGCTCAATCCGTCGGCTCGGACGGATCGAAGAAGAAGCCCATTCTCGCATTGAGAATCGTAAAACCGATCTCGTACTTTCCGGGGATGCTCACGGCCAACCTTCCGAAGCAGCCGACTAAACAAGCCGTTGAAGTTATGCGCAAGTTTCTGCAAGCTTGAATGAAGGTTCACCTACCTCTGCTGTACACCCAGACGAGGTTGGTGATGCATGCCGAAAAATGGCGGAGAGAAACCCATGGAAGTATGGCGCGGCTTTCGGCGGTGGGCACAGAAAAAAGTTGCGCCCTAAAAAAGTCCCGTTGTCCAAATTATAGAGACCCTCAGCTCCAGTTGTCCAATTTGCGGCTTCAACATCTACCAAAGCCACAAGCAACATTATGCCCAGTGAAGAGCCGAGCGAGACCAGATGAGCCAAGATAAGCCATCAGCGAGATGAGCAGCTTCGGTGGCTCGCCATCCCTGGGGATTGTTATATGCAAAATTCCAGTTTTGCTAGAGTTCTAGTTTTGGATAGTAGCCGAACCTTGTTGTTCAGAAATCGTAGAGACGGCGGCGATTGAGCAGAGAAGCGACAGCACCAGAGCTTGTGGCGTATAAAGCACTAAGTTCGAAGTAATGTGTAAATTCTAAGAAACCAACTGTGCCGTCGACTTCTGCGTTTTCCAGATTGCCAAATCGGAGCATCAGGCACGAGGCGAGCGGATGGAAAATTGCAATCGAGGAATAGAGAGCACGAATTCGGGCCAGAAAATAAACGCAGACCTGCAATTTTACCATACTTTGAGCCACTCCCGGTGATAGCTTCTCGAACTCCTGTTATTGTGCTCACTTTTTTAATATATTCGCGGATGACGACGCTCAGCAGGTGTCGATACACGCGCAGTAGCGTGTTGATGCTTGAGCAACGCTGAAAAGCTTTAGAGGTAAAGTAAATATGTAATACCGGCCATATATACGGCAAAAATCACCAACGGCGAGTTTAGATTCCGTTTCCAGATGAGGAGACACCAAAACAGAACGGAAGCCCAACGTCTCGGCGATCACTGAGAAAGCACCACAAAGTTCACCTGAAATATGGCGATAAGGGATGCATATTCATAAACCGTGGCAGGATCCCAAATAAAGCACTCACCAACGGTAAGGCTGAGCCTCAAAGCGTTATAGTCGCCCCAGTCGAGATCTACGTGGCGAAACACGTCGATTATATCCATTTCGCGTTCGTAAAGTTGAAGCGCTCGTGCCGGTAACAGATCAAGCCCGAGTTTTGGGTCGTATTCGGCCGAGGCCCGCTTTGTATACCCGAATCGAAAATCCACCAGGTCTGACGGGCCCGTTAGTTTTCCAGCTACTAAATACAAGTCTTTTTCAGGAGATTAAATAGCTGGTCAGCAGCCGCAAATGACCGGTCTGCTAGCCCAGCATAGACGTCATTCGCCCCGTTCTTGGGGGCCCGCGCAGCAACAGAACCCATATAGGTTACAATTAGTACAGGTGAAGCCCGGCACTTCCCGCCCAAAAAAACGACAAAGTTTGGTGCCCCGGCTAAGGGAAAAAGCTGATGTGAGCAGTCCATCCTAAGCAAACCTTGCTCATATGCCCTGAAATTAATATACTGCAGTGCCTCAATCAATTTTTGTCGAACTTTATGGGAAACGGGCAACCCAGAAAATAGAACGGCGTTTGCCGAAAGCAAGCTAGAACAACTCATGCGAATTTGGAGGAAAACAGGGAACAAGTCAAGGCAATCCGGATAAATGTACAAATTGAGGAGGGCATGTGATGTCAAAGTAGCCGGAGCGATTGTCGCGTTCGGGCTAGGCTTCCTTGTGGGGGAAGAGCACCTCCGTGGTCGGGTTCCGGATCACGTAGTCACCGGCCTAAACGGGAAAGTTTCTGGGGGTAAATGAATTTCTTATCGGCGTGTCTTCGACGGTACAACTGGTGCGTGGGGTCGGCGCTCCATGAAGCTGATTGATTGTGATCTAAATTGAAAGTTGATAACCAACAAAACTAGATTACCTCTTCTGGGCGCGTTGGTCCTTGCCCTCAGCTGCGCTGATTTTACGGGCCATCACTAAAGACAATACATAAAAAGTTATAAAAGGAGGTTTACGGTGTTGGCGCTCCATCAGCAGGTCGTAGTACTTCTGGTCAAGGTAGAGTGACGGGTGCGTCAGGGTCTCATCGTCCCTACCAAGAAAATGTTGCAAACGGTCAAATTCATACAGCGGAAACGTTTGCGGAGCTTCGGAAGCCGCGGCAGCCCATGGCGCTCTTGGTACTTGTGATAGGCCAGCGTGTTGATCATGTTTCTTTCGGGCTCCCACGAGTTCGAGTTGACATCATAGCCTTCCCAAGATACCTAAAAAAGCGTTAGTATTCCAAAAAGCTTCGCCTACGCGGAATAAATATGGGCAGTGCACAGCTTTGTCGAATGTTTCGGGCGCGAAGATTTTCCATGGCGCGTTCATGGCCTTGTAGATGCCCCGGCGGTAGTTCATGTGCGAAATCCAGGCGTCCTCGAATCTAAAAGAAATTGATAAATAGAAATCAAAAGCCATACCTGATGTAGTTGAGGATTTCTTTTACATCGTACTCCGGTTCGTCCTCCACTTCGTCAACTTGCTTCTTTTTGGATCTTGCCATTCCGCTAAATTGAAAAATTAGAACAGATAATAATAGGGAGTTAATCAAGTGTTTCGAAAACAGTA